GGGGGGGGGGGGTTGTGTGCTGACTCACCCGCATGGCCGCCTCCTCTGCACGCTGCTCCAGCTGGGGGGAATGCACGCTCGAAGCGATTTCGAATTTGAAAACCCCTCCCCTCATCCCCTTGCCGCCAGCCTCAACTACTGGTAGCCTGACTACCGGCCAACCCCCCGACCCGGCCCTACGGCCTCAAAACCGCCGCCAGGACCACCGCCAGGGACCGGTACCGGCACCCGCGAACGACATTCACGGCCTTCGAAAATCCGTTCTCGTGAACGTGTTCGGGAACCGTTCGCGTGAACGTGCGAACATGTTCGCGTGGACGGGAAACACCCCGAACACGTTCTCTGTGCTACACAAGTTGTAAGGTCCTTCGCTCATTAATTTTTTCTAAGACTTCACCGAAGATTACACTTCTTTTTTTTCTTCGGGAACTTCATTGTTTTTTGGGGCGTTTATTCAATAGCCTTCCCTATCGTTCCGTTGAAGATCACACTTCTTTTTCATTTTTTTCTTCTTCAGGGACATAGTGATTTTTAGGGGCGTTTCACTCATGAACTTTCCGTAAGACTTCGCCGAAAATTACACTTTTTTTCCTTCTTTTTTTTTCTTTGCGAACTTAACCGCTTTTACAAGCGTTCTCTTATTAACTTCCTTTAGGCTTCGCCGAAGATCACACTATTTTTTTTTTTTTTTTTTTTTCTTTGGGAACTCAATCGTTTTTGTGAGCGTTCACTCATTGACCTTCCCTAAGGCTTCGTCGAAGGTTACACTTATTTTTCTTCTTTTTTTTCTTCGGAAACTAAACTGTTCTTAGAAGCGTTCACTCATGAAGCTTCCCTGAGGTTTCACCGAAGATCACACTTTTTTTTCTTCCTTTTTTTAGGGGGGGGGCTTAGTCATTTTTAAAGGCATTTTCTCAATAACATTCCCCAAGGTTTCGCCGAAGGTCATTTTTCTTCCTTTTTATCTTCGGGGACTTAGCCATTTTTAGGGGCGTTCACTCAATAACTTTCCCTTACGCTTCATCGAAAATCACACTTCTTTTTCATTTTAGTTTCTTTTCGGGGATGTAGCCATTTTTAGGGTCGTTCACTCATCAATTTTCCCTAAGACGTCGCCCAAGATTACACTTTTTTTCCTTCTTTTATTCTTTGGGAACTTAGCAGTTTGTAGGGTCGTTCACTTATTAACTTTCCCTAAGACTTCTCCGACGATTACACTTTTTTTTTTTTTTTTTTTGGGAACTCGACCTTTTTTATGAGCTTTCACTTATTAACTTCCTTGAGGCTTCGTCGAAGATCACACCTCTTTTTCTTCTTTGTTTTTGTTCAGGAACTTGACAATTTTTAGGGTTAGTGACTCGTTAACCTTCCCTAAGGCTTCGCTGAAAATTACACTTTTTTTCCTTCTTTTTTTCCTTTGGGAACTTAACCGTTTTTAAGAGCGTTCACTCATTAAGCTTCCCTTAGCCGTCGCCGAAGTTTTCACTTTTTTTTCTTCTTTTTTTTCCTCGGGAACTTAACCATTTTTAAGGGCGTTCACTCATTAAGCTTCCCTAAGGTTTCGCCAAAGGTCACTCTTTTTTCTTTCTTTTTTTCTTCGGGGACTTAGCCATTTTTAAGGGCGCTCCCACAATAACCATCCCTAAGGTTTCCCCGAAGGTCACTTTTTTTTTTTCTTCTTTTTTTTCTTCGGGGAATTAACAATTTTTATAGGCATCCACTCAATAATCTTCCCTAACGTTTCGTTGAAGATCACACTTTTTTTTTCCCCGGGGACTTAGAAATTCTTAGGTTCATTCACTCGTTAATTTTCCCTAAGACTTCGTTGAAGATTACACTTTTTTTTCTTTTTTTTTTTCCTTCCGTAGCTTAGCAGTTGGTAGAGTCGTTCACTTATTAACTTTCCCTAAGGCTTCTCCGACGATTATACTTCTTTTTTTTTCCCCTTAGGAACTTAACCTTTTTTAGGAGCATTCACTTATTAACTTCCTTGAGACTTCGTCGAAGATCACACTTTTTTTTGTTCTTTTTTTTCTTCGGGAACTTAACTGCTTTTAGGGGCGGTGACTCATTAACCTTCCCTAAGGCTTCGCCGAAAATTACACTTTTTTTTCTTTTTTTTTGTCTTCGCGAACTTAACCGTTTTTAAGAGCATTAACTTATTAAGTTTCCCTTACCATTTGTCGAAGATGACAATTATTTTTCTTCTTCTTTTCTTAGGGAACTTAACCGTTTTTAGGGCGTTTACTCATTAAGTTTCCTTAAGGTTTCGCCGAAGGTCACCTTTTTTTTTTTTTTTTTTTTTCTTTTTCGGACACTTAGTAATTATTAAGGGCATTCCCTCAATAGTTTTCCCTAAGGTTTCGCCGAAGGGCACAATTTTTTTTCTTTTTTTTTTTTTTCTTTGGTGACTTAGCCATTTTTAGGGGCGTTCACTCAATAATCTTCCCTAACGCTTCGTTGAAGATCAAATTTTTTTTTTTTTTTTTCCAGGGACTTGACCATTTTCTGGGTCATTGACTCGTTAATTTTCATTAAGACTTCGTCGAAGATTATACTTTTTTTTTGTCTCGAACTTGACAATTTATAGGGTCGTTCACTTATTAACTTTATCTAAGGTTTCTCCCACGATTACACTTTTTTTTTTTTTTTTTTTTTAATGAACTTAACCTTTTTTTTTAGCATTCACTTATTAACTTCCTTGGGACTTCGTCGAAGATCACAGTTTTTTTTGTTCTTTTTTTTCTTCGGGAACTTAACCGTTTTTAAGGTCGGTGACTCGTTAACCTTCCCTAAGGCTTCGCCGAAAATGACACTTTTTTTTTTCTTTTTTTTTTCGCGAACTTAACCGTTTTTAAGAGCGTTCACTCATTAAGTTTCCCTTAGCCTTCGCCGAAGGTTACACTTCTTTTTCTTAGGGAACTCAACCGTTTTTAGGGATGTTC